TGTTCGTGTTAAATTAATATTTTCTTTCATATCGAATTCTGGCGTTGGTTTTTAATTGATTATTAGTGTACCTACTAGTATTTCTATATATATTTATTGTAATAATAAGCACCTAAAATCCTTATATAGGAATCCTAGACTTTAGTTGGGTAACACGATGTTAAATCATACAATTTTTAGCTAATTATGGTCATGAAATTAAATTCTAGAGTAAAGTACAGTGACTACAAATTTAATTAAGCATAATTTTCACTCGTTGTCTGAGTAGTAACTGTTTAAAGTACGAGCTAATAAAATATGAAATCTTTGTTTAGTTAATAATAAATTAGAAAAGTCTAATCTGAGTTTAAATTTATAAAATATTTTTTAATATATTCGTATCATAAAAACTATATATATAATATATAATTATTTAATAAGAGATAATCTGTTGACTCAGTAGTACAATACAAGGCGGCGTCTAATAATGGCGTCTTTGTATTCAAGGAAAGTTCGCAATTCAAACTGCGTAGATTGTTGGCTGAGTACAATGCGGTGTTGCTATACCTCGTCAAACGGAGGACAATCATGTGAACTGGCAACACTGAAGAATACTGTGGATAAGACAAATATAATATTATACATTATTTTTAATTATTTTATTTGATGATGATATTTTAATATAAATTCATGTCTATTAAATTATGAAGTAAAAAAAAAATATTATAGTGAAAATTAATATTAAAATGCTTTAAAAATATTAACAATACTAGATGTTGACAATAAAATAATATATAATATATATCGTTTTTAGTTTATGATCATCTTAAAATAAATCTTTTGTATTAAATAATAATATATAATAATAATAGTATTATCCACATGTTTCTGTCGCACCACAAACGAGCAATCAGCCAGCGATCGCCAACACGACAATACCCCCCCCCTCCCCTCCCCCTCCCCCCCGCTCCTTCCAAATTCAATTTGCACCAATCAACGGGCGCCGTCTTCCCGCCTTCGCCCGGACGTGAATTCGTTCGTTTTAAATTACATTTTTATTCTTTTTAAATTGTGCTCGCTCTGTTATTTTTTTTTTTCGTATTTTTCGTAATTGGGAACACTGTTTTCGGAATACAAAGGATATATTTATATACATATTTAATATGATTATTATTATATATGTTTTTGTTATCAGTGTATAATAAATATAAGTGTTTATTTCAATCAAACTATTATGGCGTGTGACGTAAACTTAATATTTACGTAAAAAAAATGGCCTCCGTCATAGCTGCGTGTCAATTTTGTATGCAAATAGTTTGTCACAAGAATAACAATGAAGATATCAGAATTGAAACGCGATTTTGCAAATAGTATCCATCCCTCAAACAGAACGGAATCGTGGAATATCAATATTTGATATTTGATTTTGTAACGAAAACGGCGCCATATTGCTCGCTTTTCGCGCTGTTTTTTGATATTTATATTCTTTTTTCTTATAATCGATTGTTCAATATTTATAATATAATGAAACATTTATAATATTATTATTATTTTTTATATTGATGAGATCAGGTAAACATAATTCTATTTAATATAATATAAATAAGAAATCAAAGAATTATTTAGTTTTAAAACGATTGAATGAATCGTCAGCCATATTTCTTTTAAGTGACGTTTAAATCATCATATACCTAGTTAGTTTATACTTATAAATTATTGAATAACGTTAAATTAAGATTTTTAGAGAAAATTATATAAATATCTTTGTTTTTATGAATATGTATTGGTGTTTAAAGAAAATTATCCCAACATCGTCAGCGGTATATAAACCAGTGTCCATGTGTTTTGATTTTTACAATAGATAATTAAGGTGTATACCTATATACAGTTTTATTACAAATATTAACTTAAATATGATAAGCATATTTTAGTTCGGGGTTTTTTAGACTGTTTTCATAAATAATTTGATGATTTTAGCCTTGTTGATAGATATGAAATAGGGATTTCGTATTACATATATAAGTATAGGTATATAACTTAAATATTTTGTATCGTCTCTTGAGAACGCTTCCGTCAGACTACGCTCACGTATACCTAGATCAAGAATACTTATACAGATTTAATAAAGAAAAATTATCAATTATATTCAATTGATATTTAGTATTAAACAATTTAATGTCAATAAAACCTTCATAGATAGATTTAACCTTCTCATTAATGTGTATCGTTATTTTATTAAAACTTCAAGAATCTTTCTTTTTACGTATTTTTGTCAGATTTTACAAAATACAATACTCACTTAATTACCTATAATCGTTTATATAATGAGATTCAATTTTTTAATTCTATTTGTAGTTTAAAGATCCTTATAATACCTAATAAAATTCCGTAAAAATAAGATTCCGTCGAATATTTTTTTATTATTGCTGCATATGTATCCGTATATTGTTTACTTTATAAGTGATTTCTGTTTTAAAATCTATCTTTGTTACTCCACTTGCCACCAGTTAATTTCCTTGTTATATTTTCATTTTATCTAGAATACCGTATTTCTAACTCACACACTCCGTTTTAAAATATACCTATTGAAAACGAAGACTCTTCTGGAAAATTGATTTTTCTCACTAAATAAAATAAATAAAAGTAAGGTCAGTCCTCCTATATTTAAGATATTACTAAGAAACTAAACCTATATTTATTATTTCACTTGAATTATGATAGGAACGTATTTTCTTACAACAATATAAAATGCCGCCATTAATGATTACTCTAAGTTAAGACGTAGAGCGAGATGGGGATATATCTCCGTCTCGCTCGCACCACACGCCGCTCGAATGTTGAGTTTTTCGTTATTCATACCCGCGGGTATTAGGGTGACTATACATTATAGGAAAAAGAGGAAAAATATTTTTATATATACAGGGTGACTGGTGAATTACTATCGATACTTGAGGACGTGATATTTGACGATCATATATGACAAAATAAAAATTAATATAACATATAACATAAATATTAATAATTCACCAGTCACCCTGTATATATTATATAATAAAAAATCATCATCAGCCTATCAGAGCCCACTGCTGAGCTGCCTCTTCACATGGAGAAGGTTTGAGCATTAATCACCACGCTCGCTCAAGACGGATTGGTGGTAAAAATACATATCAAATAATAAATTAGTATTTTTTTAATTATAGGACATAGTTGAAATTTTAATGTGTGAATTAAATGTAATAAAGTATTAATGTTGTTTTATTATTATTTTCTATATTAATAATAAGTTTTTTTTTCATATTTGTCTCTAATTATTTGTATATAATGGTCATCCTACTACCCAGAAGCTTCCCCTAAACATTGTCTTGTAAGCTATCGCCGACGGATTTCTTACGAACATTACACCAGAATGATTTTTATACTGTTATATTAGAACAAAAACATTTATTTTTCATCAAATTTAGGTATTATTATGTATTATTTTATATTATTTATCTAAAAATTATTTAATTTGAGCAACCATATTTGAATTTTACAATGTATGACCTTGAATACAAATTATTATATAAAAAGAAATTTCATTTCAAATTATCTTCTTCTTACTGTCAATTTCCCAGCTTTAGCCAGGGTCTGCCTTACATGTTGTGAATAGTTTCGTCTAATTGTTTTTACGACCGGCCGCCTGCCTGACATCAACCCTCTTTGGGAATGCATTAATCAGTGATGTCTAAATACTCTTAGACAGTACATATGACTAGGAAAAATCACATTGATACTTGCCAGGATCGAACCCGCGCCCTCGTGCATGAAAGGCGGGCTTTAACCACTAGGCAACCACTGACTTATATCAAAGTATATTATTACATAATAAAAACTTACTGTATGCTTACTATAAGTTAGCGTTGTCACTACATACGTGCATTTAATAGTTTTTCATACTTAAATCTTGTATTAACGTAGGTAGGAATTAGAAACGGGAGACTTTTCGTTCGTAGTGTAAAGATGAAAGTTAGTACTAAGTATACATGGAGAACTAATATTAAAACTTAAAAAGAGATTTATTATAGGAAAATTGTTTATATGAAGAAATTTTGATAGTACTTAGTAAGGAAGCGTCATTAGTTCCATAGTAATAATAGTGTTGTTTTTTGTCATTTTTCATAAAAAATATGTATAATATATCATTAATCGCAGTTATTTAAAGTTAATAATGATTTTAGAATATTTTATTTCGTTATGAAATTGAAATTTATGTTATAATATTTGTCAAAAGATTGGTTGTTATTTTTTTTTTGGGTGATCCATTAAAACACATACATCCAACATATTAATCTATATTCTTATAATTTTTTTACATAACTTACAATATAAATTACATATATTTACAATGATTATAAATTATATTAAAATAAAATATGAAACAAATTTAAAAAAAATCTATTTGTTCACATGAGGAAAAAAACAAAAGAGATCTTTGACTGAAAAATATTTATAAATAAAATCCAAAAATTAAATTATTTTTAAACTCTACGTTGGCTGTAAAATTCATGCCGTTTTATAAAAATAACTTCAAATTACTGTCTTTAAATAATACGAAAGTAAAGATGTCGTAATATTCACATTAAAAATAATATTAAATATCCTTAAATTAATCTATATTAATATATTTTATTATAATCATTATATAATCTATATTTGGCCTGTATCAGTTCAAATTAAGTACTTATACATACATTTATGTTTTTTTACAGTGTTACCAACTTAATACGTAATTTCCGGTCACTATTTCTATATGTTCTACGTCTTGGTCTATAAAGAAAATTATTCCATATACATATATGTATGACTAAAAGTTAAAACATTTAAATATATCTGAGGTATGGTTCACACTTATTAAACCTTTCATAACTAGGACTAGAATTATTCCTTAAAATACACCGTATACAAGACAAATTGAAACCAAGCATCATATTTTATTATATGCTTAAATTAATTTAATTAAAAACGAAAATTTTAATTTATTTTCATACTACGTAAGGCCTGAACATATCAATGCCGGGCCGGCCGCCATCTTGGCTCATGACGGCCAATCCGCGTCTATTGTTTTCCAAATTCGAATTGAAATTGGCGGCGGCCATCGCTCTCTCTCTCTCTAGCGCGATGATTCTGTCCCTGTCTAACATCGGGGCCGGCTTGACAGATGTCAGGTCGCCAGCCAAATGTTGCGTGGGTTTTTCGTGTTCAGTTACTGAAGCGTCTTTTAATTTGTTTTTATCTTCATTAGTTTCTTTGATCTTGGTGTCCTGTTGTGCTTTTTTCGATCTCTTCCATTTCATTCGACGGTTTTGGAACCATATTTTCACCTTTAACAGAAACATATATTAATAATTCTACTTACGATTTACGTGTTTGATTACGCGAAGTTTTGGATGTTTTTGTTTGTTATACATACTCAAGTTAAGTGATTCATCATATATATGATAAGTTAAGCCGAGATTAATCTTTAAAGCCACATAAACGCCCCAGCAATAAAGTTGATGGCGTACGTTTCGCCGCCCCCGTAATCTTGTAGCGGCATTTGTAAACTCAAATCCGGGCATCGTTCAAGTAGACAGCGATGAGCCGGGTAACGTCATTACCGGGTTGAAAAGGTTTTTGTTACTGTTATGATAAATACGGATATAGTTTTTACATGGCTTGAAATAATCTTTTTATTTAAGAATTCGAAAATTTTGAAGATATTTTGTTTGTTCGAATATAAATCTTATTGGTCAGGAAGTATAAGTATTTTAATATATCTGTTTGATTATTATTAATACAAATAATTACTTAATTATTATATGAAATATATTAAACAATTGTCTCTTTATGTACCTATTTTGAACGACTATGCTTCTAGAGTATATCCCATAATTCTATTTACACTTAAGAAAACCTATAAGTATAAGAGCCGTTTTTATTTCTAACAATCTTATATTCAATTTCTAATATGTACATATTTTAAATTTTTAATACGATAAATTTTTTATAAGAGCTTAACAAATGAAATTAGTCGGTGTAAGAAGAATCTAAGTTACTTTACTTAGTCTAATTAGAGGTTTAATGTGTTCTTTTAACTGGCTGGTTAACAGAATAAAGATTTTTAACTTTACAGGTACACTGCTTATAATATAAATTTTCGGTAGTTATCCACGTCGTACGTTCAAGATTTTAATATAACCGATAATTGTTAAAAAGAAGTTACATTGATTTTTCGAATTTTTTTTGAAAAGCTTTACCTAATAAAAATGTTATTTTATTTTATGTATCAAAATGTATCTTTGTAACAAGACGCTGTATAGATTATATTTAAAGGACCATTTTTATATTTGGCTTTTAAAACACAATTATAATTGAAAAAAATTATTGCCGCCACGTCAATGTCGTTAGTGTCAAATGTCAATAATGACATATATTTTTTTTTATCATACAGGGTGACTGGTGAATTACTATCGATATTTGAGGACGTGATATTTGACGATCATATATGACAAAATATAAATTAATATAACATAAATATTAATAAACTTCTAAGTAAAGTTAACCAAAAGTTATGTAACTAATTACGCATCGTATGAACACCCTACAGATTAGGTATACACACACACACACACACACGCGTGCGGTGGCGTGGTGTTGTATCAGCACGTCGCCGCACGCGTCCACACTTGAACACTTGGAACGTGTCAACACTTTATTTATTTATACGGAAATTTTGTCAAAAATTAAGTGCCTATTTTTTTTACATAATTCGAATGAGAATCATGTACCGAGTATGCTCCTTAAATATTGATAGTAATTCACCAGTCACCCTGTTTGTCTAACAAGCGATGGCATACAACATTCAGCCAACCTGTGTCTCCGTGAGCATCAAGCTGGTCGCCACTTCGAACCTCTTTGGTCGGGACAAGTATTTGTTCATGCGGAACTGCTTCTCAAGCTCCAGAAGTTGCTGTGACGTGAAGGCGGTCCTTGGTCGTCTTGTCTTACCGAGTAGCGCGTGAGGAGCACCTGGTTGAAATAGATTATTAATTATAATATGTGGTATATATTCGTATTTAAGAGTGTTAATATAAAATTGAGATAATGAAAAGTAAATCAAAAATATTTTTAATATTATCCCTGCTAATATTATAAATGCGTATCTCTGTCTGTCTGTTTGTTACGCTTTCACGTTTAAACCACTGAACAGATTTTAATGAAATTTGGTACAGACATAGAGTTGACCTTGAGAAAGAACATAGAATAGTTTTTATCCTAGACTTTTGAAAGGTTCTCTTGGAAACGCGATATAACCGAACTCCACGCGGGCGAAGCTGCGGGCGGAAAGCTAGAATCTTATAAGATTATTAAATGTATTTCTTAGTTTTGTATTGTATAATATTTTGTTCTATTAAAATGGAATGTTCATTGTTTATAAGATAAAAAGATAAATATATCACTAACTGCATTACATGAAGTAGGTAAGTCAAATAAAATCTAGTTTTAAAATCCGTCTTGTACTAAACTGATGGACACAATGATAGATAAATAGATAGAAAAAGGTAGAACGATACACTTGGAAAGGTGATTATAGCATAGAATAAAGAATTGGTAGTAATTCCACCGGTAAACAAAAGTTTATTTAAGATAAAAATATGTACCTACCCAAAACTCTATAACATATTTTAAAAGATGACTAAGGAATTTAGCCTTTTGGAGATGGTTACTCTAAAACAGAATAATGTGGACAAAACACAACATATACTTGAAGAGTCTTACAAGGAGATCACGGAAATTAGTTTATCAATGAGAATATATTGATAATTGAGCAGTACAAAAAAATGATTGTATACCTATATTTAAATGATACTAATACTTTTCGGATTATAATACGTGTATTTTATTATTTTTAACAATACATTCTACCCGTGATTATTTTCTGAAAAGTGAAAAGTAACCGTAACGTCGGGTGTATGTAATTTTTAATCTGAAAATATTAGTTTAATTTAAATGAATACTCGCGAAAATCTTAGATCTTATTATTCTATATATATTAAAAGCTCTATAAAAATATATGAAGATTCACAAATATTCAACAGAAAATAAAAAGAGTAACTATAAGATGTGATTGAGACAGGTTCCCTAAAAAGACAATAAAAAATACAGAATTATAGAATAATTAATAGAATAATAATGAAAATAAGAACTCAAGTATTAAACAATTAATATTTAAACAATACATATTAATAAAATAATAATTCCACATATCCGTAAGATCTCATATAGATTAGGCGGAATTCGTTAAACGATAACAGTAACTTTTTAATTATAACAGATAAAAAAATATATACCTTTGATAATGAAACTAATTATTGCAATGACATATATTTTATCTGTCGATCTAATCAGACGATTTGATGAATTACACGGCATAATAAAAATTAATATAGATTATGAATTAATTAAATTATTTTATATATATAATAATATTTAATTGATTTAGTTTTTTACATCAACAAAATATATGTCATGTATGACATTGGCATAATAGGCTATGATTTAAGTGCGAATGAATTCATAGTAAAAAAAAAATGAAATGTGTTGAATATATTTGTATTTTTGTAAATTGAAATTAACTTATTTAAGGTGTTATGGTTTAAGATAATAATTAATTTGCTCTAGTTAAGGTTTGGTGTTATTTAAAAGTACTGGCTTCAGAAAACTATATTAGGTATTAAATGATTTTATTAGAACCCTAAATATATTATAAATAAATAAAACTAATTGTATAAACAAAACACCCTCAGATAATCCTATAAAAGTGATAATTATCAATTAGTATAACAGTATTGTTATTCGTGACATTTGGTTTGTGTTTGCACAAAACGATAAATACCAGCTTAATTCCCGAACGCATCTGTCAACTTGCTAGACGCTAGTGCCGGCTATGGCGTTGGCGGGCTCTTTGTTACGCGTATTTTATTTAATAATAACATAATATAATATTATTTCTAGTGTCGAATAGTTGGCTTTATTAATATATTTAACATATGAGCTTATGAATTTTCAACATGTGTCATGTGCAGTGTTGTTTTAAGACATTTGTGAAGTTTTGACAAGGTCATACACATTTTGTTAATATAAATGTATGATTTAATTGAATTTATTGCTTTATTACAATTCATGGTGATTCTAAATAGGTTTAGTAAGCAAACATTGATATCGCAGTTATAAATTATAAGTCGACATTACCTTTAAAAACTTTTTCTCTCCATGGCCATCACAAGTCCAGGAAAGTCACGTATAGTCAATAAACATTTTCAATTATTGATTTATGATTTCGACCCTTAAGCACGGAGCTTATATTTGAGTTATTTTATTTAATTTACTTTTAAATGTATTCAGAATGTTTGATTTGGATCTCGTGTAAAAGTAATTTCTATTGATTCATGTTGGTCAACTGTAAACTAAACTCGACTTATATTATTATTAAAAATATATTATTAATAATATATTTATATTGAAACAAACAAAGTTATTCCCTTCGGGTCCATACAATAACATTAAAACGGTTGACTGACATCCAATCAACGGTAATTCGATTTCGTCCGTGAAGACAGCGTCGCCGGCCATCTTGAACCGGGGATATGTTTGACAAATATTGTTAATATTTATATTGTTACTCTATATATTGTTATATTAATGTTATATATATATTTAAAATATTGTATTATAAATATATTTTAAGTAATTTTAAGTGTAATAATTTAATACAATCGATTTTAGGTTTGTATTTTTTTTTTTGTATAAATCGTAGTTTCGTCATAAAATTAATATCAAATTATGATTTTGTACAACTTTTGACTGAAACTTGTAATATCTTAATCTTTTGTAATTTTCTATTAATGTAAAATGTTTGATAGAAACCAAATATTACGTTTGAAATAATAAAGATATTGTTACATACCTATGTATTGTTTTCTTTGTTTTAATCATGGAAGTGACAAAGTAAGTATTGAATATTTTTGTTAATTTTTATTCAATAATACGTTATTTTAATTCAATATTGTTCAGTTTATATTTACGAATAACTTAGAATAACTATATACCTAGTATCTCATCTTTCTACATCTCGTCTTAATAATCACGGTTGCTGAAAAGTAAAAAGTAACCGAAACGTCGGGATTATGTAGTTTTTACAATAATACAGTCGCGTACTACATCCGAAAAATATTAGTTTCATTTAAATGAACACTCGCGAAAATCTCATATTATTAATATATTATGTGTTAGTTAGGGGAGAGTCGGATATATCGTACCACTTTTCACTTTAACTCAAATATTTCGACTATAACACATCTTATAATAATTAATACATATGTAAGATAAAGTTTTATGTTTTAGCTTCCTAAGAAGAAGAGAACAGATCCTTGCGATTATTCTAACATTGTTAAAAATGCTTTTTTGTAGAGGCTTGCCATCGGTACGATTTAGCCGACTAGTCGTTTTAATCGTACCACTAAGTCTTTAAATCGTACCATGGGTGTTTAAGTCGTACCACTGAATGAAAGACATTAAAATTCGCAATCAAATTATTTATTTTTTCACTGTAAGGTAAGTAATAAAACAATATTATTTATATCTTTTAGGTAATAGAAACATAAGTTTTAACTCTTCGGTTATATAAAGGAACTATAAGCTTTCTTAGTAAAATAACATGATTATACTATGATAATGAGATCAATCAACATAACTAATAAAAATAAGACAAAAAAAAAAAAACAGCAAACTATAATAATAAAGTAACAGTTAACAAGAATGTTATTTGTAATATAATTAATTATTGTGCATATTTCTTAATGGAAACAATCATGACAAATGTCTGGATTCGAAGTACACGTCTCATGTAGCCACCGTTTACAGCGAAAGCATTGAATCCAATCAACTTTTGGACCCTTCTTATCGTAGTAAGAACAATTGCACTTTCGACATATATTTTCAAGATAATCATCGCTGTCATCATCATCATCTAGTTCTACAACAAGTGTCTCTCCTGAATCATCGCTATTGGTGATGGAATGAGATCGTTTCCTCTTATAACTTTTGATTTTGGCCTTGGGTAGTACTTACTATACGTACTTGTGGTAGTACTATAGGTACTTGCGGTGGGTAGTCGGGTAAATCGTACCAGTACAATTTAACCAACTGCAAGTGGTACGATTAAACCAACTAAGGCATTTCTAAAACAAAAGCAAATATCCGGCATAAACTCAAAACTTAGACACCCAACAAAAACCCCCAATAATATAGAATACAATTGTGGAATAACAAAAAAAACTGAATAACTATAGCTTACCTTGATTACGAGTTATCTCCTTACGAATGTACGACAATATTTATAGTAATTCCTACAAAAAATGTTTTTCTTTTATTACTTGCACAGTTGTTAACTCACGTCGATTTAAACTAGTGGGTGAAGAGGGATGGTACAGGGCCACGATTTGGCGTTGTCAGTGTAGAAAAAAATATTCATTAAATGGGAAATTTAGAAGTGGTACGATTTAAATGCTAGTACGATATAACCAACTCTCCCCTATATTTTTCATATTTAACTTTTTTAAGTACTTTTTCTATAGATCATTGATTTTATATAAATAGTTTTTATATGTGGTTGTGGTTAAAATATACTTACTTTATAATTAAGACATATATTTAGTTTTCAAATGAATTACTTTAAATTTGTATACCTAAGTCAAAAGTTTTATGAAACTATTCTTACAAGAATACGTGTAATTTCTTGTATTATGTATACAGAAAAAATTATATAGCAAAGCCTGCAGAGGTGAAAAGAAAGCTTTATAGTACTCTATTTATTTCTTCTTCTTCTACCTGGCAATTTCCAAGCTTTTGCCAGGGTCTGCCTTACATGTTGTGAATAGTTTTGGCTAATTGTTTTGACGGAATGCATTAATCAGTGATGTCTAAATACTCTTAGAATGTACATATGACTCGGAAAAATCACATTGGTA